CGTCCGCAGCCCGCGCGCAGCGCCGCGCCGGGCGCGACCTCCCGCGCCTCGCGGCCGCCGCGCGCGCCGTGGCCACCAGGGCCCCCACGCCGCTCCCCGAGGACCTCCAGCCCGAGACCGCGGCCCTCGGCGCGGCGATCGCCGACTCGACCGTCGCCGTGGCGTCCGCCTCCGCGGCCGTCTTCTCCGGCGTCTCCTCCCTCTCCAACGCGGCCGCCGCCACCCGCGTCGAGGTCGCCTCCACGCCGTGCTGGGTCACCGCGCCCTCAAGATTCTCCGCCGCGTCCGCATCAGACGCGCCAAGAAGCAGCCACCAGCGCGTGTGGTGGGTGGCGGACCTGGTGCGCTGGATGTCGCGCGCGAAGCGCCGGTCGGCCGGGAAACATAACACCACCAACGACGACGACGCGTCCACCTCGTCCACGTTGCAGCTCCGGCCGGAGGCGCGGATGAAGCCGGAGGAGAGAGCCCGCAAGGCCGCGTTCGAGCTCCACGACAGCCTGGAGCGGTGCATCGCGAGCGTGGACGGCAGCGGCGAGAAGGTGTTCCGGGCGCTGATCAACACCAGAGTCTCCCTGCTCAACATCCTCAGCCCAACCTTCTGATCTCGAAACCGAAATTTAGGAAACGTTTTGCTTCAGCTTTCGTGGCTTGGACAGGATTTGTATATAGTACTCTACTACTCGTGGTATATTGTCCCCCGGGACGCGGCCTTCGCATGCGTTCGCCTGCATCTATCAACGGATTTGGAACCTGGCGTTACGAATCGCGCAATCTGCATTTCTCGGCCCGGTTCTTGACAGCAACCCTCCCAAATGAATTCAGACGCCGCGTATTCTTGTTCCCGGCAAAGATCCACGCCCTTGGCGTTGCCCGGTGAACTTTCTAGATTGAGCGGAAATTTTGGCTCATGTGATCGACCACAGAATATGCCAAGAAAAAAAGTTGGTATACGATTGTGTGACCCCAAAGTCGCCAGCTTAGGTGAACCGAACGAACCGCAAGAAGGGATCCCTTTGGGTACCTGAAACGCTATGAATTTCGTGGCGGCGGTTGCAAAGCTGCAAGGAAAAGCGAGGCGGGAACGTCAGCAGAGCGGTACTGCTAATAACCGGTTAACCGAACCACACGCAGGTCGCCATTGGCCTTGGCGAGCACGTATGGGAGCTCGCACGAGGAAGCCACGTGCTGTCTGTCGGGTCCGGGCCGTGCCAACCCTGCCCGCTGCCGGCGGGGGACAGGCTTGACTTGAGCGGCGGCAAGTGGTGCGTCTGTGCTGTGTGGGCAGGTGGCGGGGGGCACCGCCGGCCGCGACAGCTCCGATCCACGGTGCGCACTCTACTGCACTGCACACGCATAATGCGTTCGCGTTCGGTGATGAGGATGAGTCGGTGCGGTGCGGATGCCCTCTTCGCTGCCTTTTCCACTTGCCCCGCCAAGCCGCCCCTCATTCACAAAGACCTAGGGTGCCGTCAGCTTGGCAAAAATATCATGCGCGTTGTCACGGAGCAACTACACCCGAGCTCCTCCGCTATATGTCGTGCAGACCGCATGGTATGTGATCGGTCATAAAATCGTGACTCGGCCAGACTCCTCAACCCGGCCTTGTATGCCCGAGCCAACCGTCATGTCGGATCCGACAGACAGGACCCATTAGAATTCCATCAAATCCCTCCCGGCCTCGTCCTTCTTTCGGCGTTCTGGCCTCCTCAGCGCCGTGGTATGTCTAGCTATCGTCGGTCTCCGCCTTGCCCTCTACGTTTTCAATAAATTGCCCAAATAGGTTTTTTAGTTCTTTTGTAGGCCAAATACTGGATTATGAGGGTTCGTCGAATGAGGAACATGAAAACAAGGAGCTTGATAAATTATTGCAAAATGAGTTTGATGTTTGTTGGAGTCAGGCGAAGATGCTGAGATGATCATGGTCATGAGCATCAAAAAGGAAATGGAGAGGAAGGTGTAGCACATTCTAAACTTTAAGGGTTCGGTTAAAGGAAGAAGAGTTTTCGGTCGGGATCGGGTCGATGAAGAACGCCTGCTCTACAATGACTATTTTATGTTTAAACTATTATTATTTTCACCACGAGCAAATGTTTTACGTGGGATATTCGAGTGTGCGATGGACATGCATGGACTTGATGATTTTGATATGAATATGGCTGTGTGACAAAAGGTCTCGCGTCCGGGTGCGTTTCGCGAACGTAGGGCTCAGCTTAACCAAGTCCCGATCCAGATGCTCTGACGCCCTGCATGCAGTGGTGACGGCAAAAATATCATGCGATTCGTCACTGGCGCGATAGTTTTGGCGACGATCATGTGCGTTGGCGATGAACGTGTGGGATCATGCGAGGGGCATGTGAGGCGTCATGTGATAAACTGGATGCAACAGAAAAGATATTCCGTTTCTCCCAGGGCCGGCGTCCGGCGACGCGACACATGAGGGCACAGCTAGCACATTTTCCCTCTCGGTGGCAGAGCCACGTCCGATTCCTTTCTGCCTAAATAACAGCAACAATTTGACCCCTCGCTCACGCACGACGTCGCAAGCCCCCAGCTCAACCTCAACGCATTGTAAAATGATCTGAAGGCTTCAGAACGAAGCAGTCAGTCAAAGCGTCAAAACCAAAACCATGGCCGGCACTCCGGCACGGCGAGAGCCGGTTCGTCGGCGGGAGCGGTCGTGCCGCGTGGCTCGCAGCTGCGACGGACCGCCCAGCTCGACGCGCTTTCGCACGAAGCACCGGCGGGCACGCACGTTGTACGCTCGTCTTCGACCAGCCACTCTGCCTGCCAGGCTCGCCATTAATCCCCCCACTCCCTGTTGTAGTAGTACAGATCAAACCGTCGAGCGAGCGGCCACATGTGGGAGGAAGACGGTTGGTTTCTTCTTTGTTTAAGGTAGAGCGTAGCCAAGGATAGATGGATAGATGCCCTGGCAAGGCAATGGCGAATATGGCGCAGCGCTTGTGCCGGGTTGGTTCCCGACACGGTGCTCCCCCGGGGTCGGCACGTGAACCCGTTTCATTCGCACGTTGCTGTACCTCTACACGTTGCTGCTGCGGCCTTGCAGGGATGGTTCTCGTCTCGTCGCGCGTCCGCTTTTCTCATGCGTGCATGGCCTCTGCTGTGCGCTGTCCCGTGTCGCCCGGCTGGCTGGCTGGCTGGCTTGATCCAACAGCTGCGGCCTGCGGTGCGTCAGTCCGTGCCACGATGATGGGATGCGTACGCTGCTGCAGTCCTGCTGGTGCCGCACCTGCTGCTACAGGCCTACAGCACCACCAGTGCATATTCGGGGCCGTATATTCGTTCCTAACAGTGAAACCAGAAAATGGACGAAATCATCGTATATTTCTCGGATGCCAAAACGTTTTAGAAAAATAGAAACGTAGATGCTGCTCTTTGGATGCCTGCATTTTTTTATTAAAACCAAAACACGGATTGATTCAACTTGTTTCAGGAAAGCAAAAGTTGTTTGTTTTTAAATAAAATTTGACACGCTTTCTTTTTAAAAAAAAAAACTTTCAATCTATTCATCTTCAATCATGGTAGTACAACGGACACTAGAAATAATAAAAATTACATCCAAAACCGTAGACCACCTAGCGACGACTACAATCACTAAAGCGAGCCGAAGGCGCACCGCTGTCATCGTCCCTCCCTCGCCAGAGCCGGACAAACATTGTTATAGTAGACAGTCGAAAAATCGTCGTGCTAAGGTTCATGAAACCAACGCACCAGAACAACAACCGCCGCAGATGAAGAGTGTAGATCAAAAGGATCCAACCTGAAGACACAAAAACGAAGACGAACAACGAACAGATCCGAGCAAATCCACCAAAGACAGATCCGCTGAAGACACACCTTCACACGCCCACCGATGATGTTACACACATCACCGAAACGGGGACTAGATTGGGAGACCTTTATTCCATCTTCAGGGAGCCGCCGCCGTCTCGCCTTTCTGAGCAGGACACAAACTCTAACAAAGCTTAAAAAAGATATGAAGGTGGAGCCCTCCCACTGGCAAGGACCGAGATCCACTCCACCTTCATGGCCCTAAAGTCACCGGAGACGGGACGGACCGGCGCCGGCGCCTGTGGGAGGCAAAGAATCTTAGTTTTGGGGAGGCGGCGGCTGGCTACGTTGGAGGCGGCATCAATGATGTAATTAAATTTGACACGCTTTCTTTTTGCTACTTTCACGTGTTGTTCAAAAAAACAACATTATAACTTTCGAACAAGGGGATGATACATAAACATAAAAGAAACGGCTAAAATCTGACACCAGATTTTTAGCACTTTGGAGCAAACGTACTGGATGCCGTTAGATTTGGGCGCACGGATATTGATGCACAAGATGAACCACTCCAGAATTTTTTTTGTTCGATCGGACGTGTCGACCGGCAAACGACGAACACACCTTATCCTCTCTCTGTGACCCCTATCCTGCATCTCCTGCTCGCTCTAGAATCTGCTCTCGAACTCCTGCATCACAATCTTTCTTTAGTTAGCATGCAATTCCGAGAGAGGTTGTACCTTCAATTCACGTATTGCCGAAATCACTAATTAAGGAGTACTCGTCGCAAAGAATACTTCATTTTCTTAACTCAGTGACAGCATGTCACTTGTCACAACTTAGGAGTTTTTTTCATAAATCCGTTTATTTAAAATGTTTTATCTTTTAAACTGTGCATCCAAATCTTGAACCATTTTGATCATTGGATTTCTCGCGTCGAGATCTTCAAACCTAGATCCCATGTTGATAGGTTCTGACAAACTTTTTTTTCATGAAAAAACCGGAAGAAAAAAACCGGGAGAAAAAACCGTACCGGCAGCACGGTTTTTTCTTTCCGAAAGAGGCACGCCCGTGCCTCGCGAAATCACACCCGTGCCTCTCGTGGAAGCAAAATCATGACTCTCATGGAAGGAAAAAAAAAACAGAAAACGCGTTTTTTCAGTTTTCGAGAGGCACAACCGTGACTCTCGCGAAAGCACACCCGTGACACTCGTGAAAAAAACAAAAAAACGCGTATTTCCCCCCCTTTTTGAGATGCACGGCCGTGACTCTCGCGAAAGCACAACCTTGCCTCTCACGGAAGCAAAACCGTGACTCTCGCGAAAGAAAAAAAAACAGAAAACGCGTTTTGTTTTTCCATTTCCGAGAGGCACGGCCGTGACTCTCGTGAAAGAAAAAAAACAGAAAACGCGTTTTTTCGTTTCCGAAAGGCACGGTCGTGACTCTCGCTAAAACACAACCGTGCCTCTCGCGGAAAAAAACCGTGACTTTCACGAAAGAAAAAAAACGTGCTTTTTTCACGCAATTTTTTTTCGAATTTTTTTAATCGAAAAGCTAAGGAAGACCGGGGAAAAACCAAAACGTCGAAAAAACCTAGAAAAAAACCGTTTAAAAAACCGAAAACGCGTGCGGAAAAAAGAAAAAAAGAAAATTCGAAGGGAGCGTCCAGAGCGCGACACGTGGCGAATGGCTGAGAGCACGCCAAATGGCGTTGATCATTGCGAGGTTCCCGAACGAGCGCTCGTTAACTAGTTGCTCCCACATATTGCGCAGTTTAGATGCGGGCAGTAGGGCCAGCTGTTTTTTTGTC